CTACCTACCTCTAGAGTTACTTCCTGGAAGCCCTTTGAAGTGTATTAAGTCTGTCTTTCCTCCATCTGTCTCAGGGGATTCAGAGCCAGACCCCTTCCATGTCTTGTCCCCCACTCTCCCTTTCCCCTCCCCCACAACAAAACAAGCAGAGGAGTTATTCAGAGGGCTGGATGCAGAAATTTGGCTGGATTCTTCATGGCTACAGTTCAAAGGGCTACCTGGGAGAAAATGATTTTGCTTCACTCTGTAGTGGGACAGGGAAGGAGCAAGAGTAAGCTAGTAACAAGATGGTTTTACTCTCTACCAGTCTCTAAATGCCTGGCATCAGCATTTCCTCTCTGAACTTCCCCGACTTCAGTGACAACCCCTCTTCAGTAGAAACACTCTCCTTTCCCCTCAAAGTCAGAGCAGTCAGAACCCACAAATGCTTCTGGTTCTACCTCCCGCTCAAAGATAGTAACTCTCACTAAATGTAGGTCTTCTTCTTAAAAATGAGAATGGGCCTTTGAGACTCCAAAAGGTAAGATTTTAACACTGATTTCACCTGTTTTTATAAAAGCAAAACAAAATCTAAGTTTGCTTATCACCTGCAACAGACTTCATAAGATTCTTTGAAAAAATACAAGCGTGGAGGCATTATGAATGCCAAGTTGCACCCACAGTTAATTTTTTCATAGACACATTATTAACCCTTAGTTATACGAAAAGGCTGGTAGTCCCTTGACAATATAATGGTGCTGTTATAATATTCTAATAAATGATCTTTTCTTTAAAGGTTGCAGGTTCCGCCAGCTTTACACAGCCTTAATTCCTATGCAACAGTCCCTAGAATTTTAATAATCCTACAGACATAACTGACTATTGTTTTCATGTCAGCAAGTCAGTTCTATAAAACTAGTAATGGTACTGTACTGTCCTTTTTCTTACAGATACATAGTAAGCAATTTCAGTGCTGGGGTTAAATATTTTGTGGTTTTCTTTTAAAAAGATAAAAATAAGTCCAACTCCAATGTCTTAATAGCAGCAGCAAATTCTGGCTAGCTACTTGAAGTACTTATGATGTATAACACATTGAAGAATATTCACAGTAGCTTCTCATAGCATTCATATATACCCTGAACATTCATTTTTTACATGCATCTATGATAAACTAGGAATTGACCAAGACTATACAGCCAACCTATATTTTCCATGTTGCATGACATACTGAATGATTTGACCATGTAAAACATAAAATAGGAAAGTTCATATTTTTAGAATACTTCTTTTTTCAATTTTATAGCCAGCCACAAATTACAAAAACAAACAAAACAAAACAAAAAAAATCCCCACCTTTTCCATGCTTTTTTTTTTTAATCAGTATTTGGAAGAGAAAAATGTAAGTTTAGGCTGAATCTTACTTACTCGCTTTTTTAATTCTGTGCAACAGCAACTAGCCTTATTTCCATGGGCTACAAGAAAAAAAAAAAAGAAACAGGAAACTGATCAGTAAAACATTATTATTGCTGCATTAATTGGCTGAATACAATGAGATTTTAGAAGTACAAAGGACATTAGTTATGGATGCACACAACTCATTTTTGAACACTCGAAAAAATATTCTCATTCTTAAATTTAAAGTGAAAAACAGTTACCTTGGTGTAGCATACTTTGATTTCCAGAGTTGCTATATTTGGCTAAACCTTCCATTACTAATTTGTCGGCTATACTTAGACTACTGTTTTCAAAACATTTCTCCACGGATACTGCATGAATATTCTCATTGATCCCTTTCACTGTGATCATGACACACTTATTCAATATTAATGTTTTTAGCAAATCTATTATTAATGGAGACCATTCCATGATTCCTGGAAAAAATAAAATGAGAGACAACTGAGTTCTAGTTTAGATTGTAAATAGTTAAGCTACGT